AGTTGGCTTTAGAAACGATGTAGGGATTTCTTGGGGGCCTTTACTTGGATTGATCTAATTAAATTTCGTGAGCTCTATATTATGTGTGATATTGTATAATATTCTTGATATAGGATATTTATGTATTGTGAACTATTTGAATAATATTGGCATAATTATATCATGTCATGGTAATTGGTTGGAGTTGTTGGGTCAAGAAAATAATGATGGAAAAGAGGGTAATGGGAAGGATCTTTTGGGAAGGATTTTTTGTGTAGTTGTGTCTAACTCTTGGCAGGTATCACGTCTCAGGGATCCCACAGTGCACATGGTTTTTATTGGGTGATTCGAGACTAGCGAAAGAGAGTTAGACAAGATGACGGACTAACAAAAGGGGAATTACGGGATGACTGAGATGGGTGTTAGTTCATATAAATGAGCATTCGGGACCAAGTGGTATAAACATGGTATGGGACGTGCAGGCCTGCTTGTCCAATTATATGAATTAACGGGAATAGATGAAGAGCATTCATTCATGCATTATTATTAATAATTGGATATTTGGCTGTGTGATTGCATGTAACTTAATTTAGTTATATCAATCTACTATGGTAAGGTCTCATGTCCCCACTGAGCTATGGTTGCTCACCCCTCACCCTGTTTAATTTTTCAGATGAATTAGTGGGCAAGATGAGGACTAAATCGATTGAGACTGAATTAGATGAGATTAGTAGAGCTTTATTTATTAATTGTAAATTTGTAAGATTTTGGATCATTTTTATAACAGAAGTTTATTTTAAACCCATATTTCAGCTTCTTTTTATTTTATTTTAGTTTTTATTTTCTCACGCATCGGGCGTGGGATTTCCACCGACTCCCGGGTCCGAGGCGTGACATTAATTCTGATCACATTTTCATTATTCAGGCTTTGGGCAAGAAAAATCAAAAATTAAAAAAGCTGGGTTAAAGCTGTAAAGTACGACGGTCCGGTAAAAAAATTGGAAACACAAACGTCTAAGATAAAAACAACATCGGGTTTTAAAAAGGGAAAAAGATCGTAAAACAAAAAAATAGACATCTGAAAAAGAAATCAAGACGGTTTGCTTAAAATAAACCGTCGTCTAAAGTGCAAAATAAAGGCCGTTCAGTTCCATTAACTGTCGTGATAGATGTTCTGCACGTCAGCTAGTCTAAAACAACTGACATCTCCGAGCATACATATGCCAAGGCAAGTTAAACAACCGACTTTTAAAAAGACAACCACGTCATTATGTAATCAAAACCGGCGTGGTAAGCAATTACAACGTCAAGCAGTTGGATCTCTAGACGTAGTGATATAATTAACCACGTCCTTTATTTTAATGCAATGGACGTTGAATATATAATCCACTTCGGTTGTGTTCCTATCCACGCCTTCAATACTATTTATAACGTCATCCTTTGACAAAAACCGACGTGGGTGACAGTTTTGTACGTCGATATTGAGTAATATTATGTCATTTTAAATCTTTTAGACGTCAGTTATTTAGAAAAAGTGACGTCTAACTTTGTCAAAGGGCCTTCTTTGTACAATTTAAACGACGAGTCTCGCAACGTGGATAACTACATAAGCGTCGGTGATACCAGGTGCAGGACGTGGTTATGTCATGTTACAGCAATTATTGAGGGACAAATAACATCTAATACTCTTTAAACGTCTGTTGGTTTGTGTGAACATCGTCGTTTATGTTTTAGACGTCGATTGCTTTGTTTGTTTAACACAGTATAAATTAACCATGAGGGTTTCTAGCTTATCCAAGTCTTTTTTCCTTCATTTAGGGACATGGATAATTATCTCTACGTCGGTTCTTCTTTTGATCTTGACATGTAACACACTTTAGACGTCTCAGTTTGCATAAAATCGTCGTCTAATGTTGTCGGAGATTTCATTTTAGGCTAATTATATAGTAATTACACGTCGGTTAGTAATAAATTTGGACGTTGAATGCCTTAACGACGTCAGGTATTAACCGTCATCGTTTTTTTTGCAAAAGATGGCGGTCAATTTCACAACGGTTGGAAAACCTTCTAGACGACGATGGTTTCCTGTCGTCTATTTCGATTTTTGTAGTAGTGAGAGTTGAACCAAATTGCAAACGATCCTCAACGACAACAAAAAATAATGGATCTTTTTAGTTCAACCGTCATAAAAAAGAAAATTTGTCATAAAAATGGATATAGAAGATATAAAAGGGCAAATTACCATTGAGGAAGAACATCCTTATTTATGGTTGGGAAGCTACACTGCTAGAAAATGTAAACATAATAGAACGTTGTTAACATTAAAGTGAGAAGACAAATAGAATTAATGTTTGATGTCTAAATGACCATGGTGAGGAAAATAAAAGGATGAAAAACAGAATCCATCAAAGGATTAAATGAGAAGCATGAAAAAATAAAAATCACACTCCAAAAAATGAAGTACATACGAAGCATAAAAAGCTACAAAAGAATCTTTCCTGTGGTAATATAGGCAAAAAATATGGCCTCCATATAACAAAAAGATGTGCTTACACAACAAATTGACAGAACAAATTCATTTTTCTTTCATTTACATAGAAAAAATCATGTACAAACCATCCAGACAAATAATTCAAATACATCTTAAACCATCTAAAAAGTTAGCTCACTACAAGAAAAAAGCCTTTTAACAAGGGTCTTTATGTATTGTCAATTAGTGGTCTACTTGTTCTTCCAAGGATATTGACTGTGGCTAGACACAAATAAACAAAAGAAGAAATAATAGAAAATCAGTAAAACTATCAACCTATTATTAACCAACTAATAAGAATTCCAAAGTTTTAGATAGTTCTAAACACACAAGGACTTGAAATTGGTAAACACAAGTGGAGCCCAATTCCAACAAAAGTTAAAATCTACGCAGCCATCCAAAGTTGTTGCGATAATTCAATAATCATTTTCACAGTGCAGCAAATTTTGATAAAACCAAAATTTTTGTATGTATCAAGATTTATTCTAATACCACTTTTTATAATAAATAATTACTGAGGATCTTTTTTGTTTTCTCTTGGGTAAGATACTAAGGATCTTTTATTGTACAAGTTAAATCAAACAAATAGTAGGCTAAAAACTTGTTCGGAAACTTCAAGGGCTATTAGTTCTGCTATGCTAGTGTCGGCCTGAAACCATTAAACAAGTGAGAATGTGAGACACAACAACAAAGTGCTAGCATAGGGGACATCAGTTAGGGTTAGAGGACAGGGAAGAGCATTCCTATGGAGAATATATATAAAGAAGAGGTGTGTTTTGGAAGAGAGAACCACTAAGTCCCAAGAATTTTACGATTTTCAACTTCACCAATGACAAAGAATATACACATAATTACCCCTTCTTTATTACTCTTCAAAAGTAATTAAAAATGTATACAAATTTATAAATAAACCCAATCCTAGACATGTATTTATAGAAAAACCCAAGCCCTATTTAAACATAGAAACACACCCAAAATCAACATCAAAGTCAACTTTTTGGGTGTGTTTATAAATGGATTTTGAGTGTGTGTAATGATGGGTTTTGGGTGTGTTTATATGTTTAAATAGTGCTTGGGTTTTTTTATAATTTAAGCCCTCATTTTGGGTGTTTTAGTGAAACTCCCTTAAATGTATCTTCAACTAAGGGAACATACTCACCTCTCCAGCACCAAGGAATAAAAATTTGTGGTCAGCTAATGATCCCCCAACTAATAGCTGCAACAAGTCCTGCAACAACTATTTGGTAGCAACATCTTTGCAGTAGCACCCAAACTCTTATCAATTGGGCTATAATTGTTACGTTATATTCTAATATCATGATTTTATAAAGGTGCGTGTTGGAGATATTAAGAAGGAAGATTGGGAGCATCACAGAGGCAAGTTCAAGAAAGGATGAGCAAGGAGAGTGGAACGGCAGCTCCAACCAAATAGCCATATGAAAAACCAGCAACAAAGACTAACAGCACATGGGTTGGTAGCAAATAAAGAGCCATACAAAAGAAAAGAAAGACAACTAACAAATGAGATGCAGCTGGTGGATGCCACACTTTAGCTTTGTCAGGTTGTAGGGAGTGTAGCAGTTAACTCAAGAGAATATTGCAGCAAAAGCAACTAGATGAATGACCAATGCAGAGCCCACATGAAGAAAGTAGCAAACATGGCAGCCAACACTTGAATTTTGCAGCTGAAGTTGAAGGTCTCCAACCTCTATAAATAGAGAACAACGGCAAGTGAAGTGGGTGTGCAGATACAGAGCCTTACGGCAAAGAGAGCAAGGATAGAGAGGAGTGAACTGAGAGCTATTTGGGCTCTCTTGTAGTTGTTCCTCACCTCTCATAGTTCTCATTTATTTCTTATGTATTTTAATTTCTTTGTTTTGTTTTGTTTTTATTTTTAATTATGTCTACCTAAACTCCTTAACTAAGGTTGAGGAGGAAACACCATTATGAAATAAAGTTCTAGTTTTATCTTCAATTCCCTGCTATTTTGTTCTTCACTGTTTATAATTTTTCACTTCACATGATTAATATGCTAATTTTCTTTTCACCACTTCTATCATGTATTTGTGGTAGTTAAGAATTTGTAATTATGAAGGGAGTTGGGCTACGTTGTAATCTGCCTGTAGCTACCTCAAAATCTATTCTAACATTTTCTCAATTTTTCTCATCTAAACTTAAAACAAACTAAAAATCTAATAAGGTTTTCTCATCCAAACCAGAATATGAAGAAACAAGAGTTTCTCATCCATTTTCTTTTCAAATCCTAGTAAGAAGTTAACTTTAATAAAATCCTTGTCATGATTCTTTGACTATTAATTTCTCGAACAAGAAAAACAGAGAATTAATTCAAAAAATGGTGAATGCAGAGGTGAGTATGTTCCCTTAGTTGACCAACACAAGAGCAATGGCCATGTTGTACAACCATTGGTCTCTCTGGTACCTTTCATATATTATCATAAAAAATCTCCACTAAATAAGAGTGTTTACCAGACTAATCTATCATTGTACTTGGAATAACATTCACTTCAATTCCTTGTTGTCGCAGAAAATCCATCTCCTCCCCACCGCTACCAAACACCTAAAGACAAAAAATACGTTTCACTACAAATTTGACAGGACACCACAATACCACAAGTAACAAACTGTCATACTTCAATGTAGGAACTCACCAGTGGATCCCTTCCTTTTAGTCTCACAACATTAGCTCCAACTTCAGCAACACTCAGTAGCAATTCATGTATCACCTCCTGAAAGGTGGAAAAAACGCTTCAGCTCTTTCCCAAGACCCCAAAGTGAAGCCCCAATTCACTTCTATAACCCAGATACAAATTAACACAAACCCAATTATCCAATTCACTTTATAGTAAGAGAGAACCCATATCAGAAACTCAATTGCAAATCAAAATAAAATTTGAAATGTTGCTTCAGTTAATACAAGAAATGCTAATTTATTAGTGCTTTACCTGGGTTCTGCTATGGTACCTAGCAGTCTTGCCCACATAGAGAAGTCTAGCACCAGAGTCAACCAATTTCAACACATCATTGGACATCAACCTATCATACAACAATAGATCAGCAGTCTGAATGATTCTATAAGCCTTCAATGTTAGGAGCTCAGGGTCCCCAAGCCTTGTCCCACCAAGAACACATTTCCAGGCCAACACTTGCTGCTGCCATGCCCTCCTTCGACCAAGAACACATCTCAAGTGGATGAGAGATTACAAGTGGAAGGTGGACTTAATTAGCCATGGTTATTGTCGGGGGAATAGATTGAAATGAGAATTTGTTTGTGATTGAATGTGGGAGACAATGGGTCACACGAAGGGGGCGACAGAGAAGGAGTAAGGGAGAGAGGGAGAGAGAGAGAGAGAGAGAGAGAGAGAGAGAGGAAGACCAGTGGTCGTCGTCACCGGAGAGGAGTGGTCATCGTCGCCAGTGGTTTGTGGATGAGAGCACAGCTAGTGTAGATGAAGCGTTGGGTTTTGTTCTTGGGCTAGTGTAGATGACGATAAAGCATTTTACTTATGTTGAATGAAGCGTTAGGTTTAGTTTTTATTTTTTTATTTTTTTATTTTGGGCTTTAAGTGATGCTGTCAATCTTCACCAAATAAAATTATTAATCCTCACTTTAATGCTCTGTGACAAATGTGCATTATTCATCACATTTAGTAAAAAATTGGGCGCCAAGATTTCCCGCTATGTAATTTGTGATGACATTGAAATTATAATGTGACAAAGATGGAGTAAAAATTTTGTTAGGTCCTTTCAAGACGTTTAGGTGACGACTTGCAAAATGTTCTCACTTATACAAGCCAAATGTGACGGAACTTTCATCATCACATAAAATTTGGTCACAAAAGGCTAGTTTTCTTGTAGTGAATAACGCTCCATTGGAGGTTAAGATCCACATTCTCACATAATTCATCCTATAAGAGACGTCTGTCTGGAAAGAGATAATAAAAGCCCCTGAAGTGGCTTGGGTACCCAAAAGCAAAGAAATGCTATAATTAATGCATGCGCATACACAAGAGAATGGTGTGATCACGAATTGATGAATGATAATTTTTGGTTTTGGAGTAGCTGCTTAATCATCAATGGGCTGTGTTGATTGGAATCATGTTCTATCATTAAATGTTAACAATATGGTTGGCCAAAAATGGAAATAGGCAATTACATTACAGATGCGAATGAACGTGAAAGACCAACCCCATAGTACAACTCCCAAAAGATGTTAACCCTAGAAGTTGTACTTGGGTGTTTGGAACAAAAAGGAATATACTTAATTTATATGACACAATGTTTCTAGTAGAAATAAGGAATGTTGGGTTTCTCCATACTTACAGATGCAATCACGCCTTCTTGTTACGGAGACCAACATGTTATTTTTAAAGGTTATTAAATGCATGGAGCATGTCGCCAGAAGCAATTCCCTAAAGATGTACAAGCAGAACAAATAGCTGGATATAAAGCTATATAATGTGTCATGAAATGTAATCTCTTAAATAAAATCCTTGAAGGATTGAAATTGCATGAAGCAAGTCATTGAAGGATATGTGCCTGAAGCACAAATTTTTGTACTCAATATTAATATGAATAAATTGCCCCAGTGAGTACATTAATTATGATATGCAACACATTATAACTCCTGAAGTGTTGATAATTGATCAAAACTCTTGAAGAATTAATACTTGGTCAAAACTCCTAAAGAGTTCAAGAAATATTTGCATCGGTCTGATGATCGAGCATTATGCCAATGAGATTCTTGCTTATACTAAGATAGTATTGAAGCATTTTTATATGGATTATTCGTTAGGCACTTAAATCATTTTGCGGAAGTATACTGGACCAATCATTATATTTTCCAGATAGAGCTCAGCTCCATCACCACCACTTTGGGATGACGCCGACATATTTGATGCTATCTTCGCATAAAACCGTATACGGCCATATTCTTTTCAAGTAAACTTTCAAATAGCCCGAGTTTTGTTTGATTTGCTGACTGAAAATTTCTATGATTCACATAGAGAGAGCTCACTGGAAATATATTTGTTTACTCAACTATATGTGTAATAACCCGATCCTAAATTCATATTTAATTATTAGAGTATTCAACTAAAAGACAATTTTACCCCGAGAATATTTTGATGAAGTTTACTTTTTAATCGGGAAAGAATTTGAGGATTTTAGTAGTACTGCTGCATAGAGCACGTCGAGATGAGTCCGTAGACACGTAGTGGGCTCAAATCAGAGTTATAACGAGGAAGTTATGATCTACGGAAGCCCAGCGGCATAATCGTAAATGTATTTTTTTTCTTTTCCCCCTCATTTTTCTCTCTCCCTCAAGTAGCCTCTCTCTCTCTCTCTCTCACGACCAAAATAGTCACTAATATTTGGCCGACGACATCTCCATCGTCCGGCCACTGTTGGCCACGAGACCACTTGCGTTAGAACCGTCTCGACCTCTTCTGCTTGTTCCTCCCCTTCTTCGACAAGCCCAACCACTCCTTTGCCGACGGTAGCTCCATAAAGTTACAATTTTGTCAAAATTTTCCGTCCTCATTTCTCATCCTTTCAACATGACTTAGTTGATGATTGGGTTGATAGGATCAATTTTTCCATTTTAGAACTCGTTTTATCGCTTAAAGTTTCAACCGTTTTTTGATTGTTAATTCCGGCTATCTTTGGCTATCTCCGGCCACTTTTTGGCCATCGACTAAGAACAAAAGTTGCTCTACTCATTGTTCTGATCATGTGGGTATAGCTCTTGACCGGCGGTTTGGAGATTTTCCGATCGCCGGAATTAATATGGACACCCACATGCTGCCAACCCGTGAGGCGGCGCGTGGGCCACTTTGTGGCAGCCATTGGGTCCTAAAATGTTCCCATGTCATCCCAAGCACGACTGTATGCTCGGATTTGAATTTGGGTATCATTTGACTGTCGATCGGATATCGCATATTAGGCGTTATCTGGGTTCGATATGTTCAGACCCTTGGATTGACTCCATTTTCACTGACGTTGATCTAGGTACTTCTAGGATGCTCCGATTCAATAATTCAAAGTTTACAATAAACGGTAACCATCCGATCATGCGATTACGAGTTATCCGACCTCTCGATTGAGATCGAACTTGCAAAACGTGTTTAGTATATTTGGCTGAACCTGTAGAAACTTTCGAATCAAAAATCGGAGGTCGTGGGCTCGCGGGTCTTGTTGACAGGTTTTTCCACCACGATTATAAAATTAGCCAATATGCAAATTTATGAAATCATAATTAGGTAAAGTGAAACCTATAGCTCAAAGGCACATGGCTTCAAAGCAAGCACACTCAAACCTTAAAGAAAGAACATGCTTCGACTCTAATTCTCGAAGATAGCACTAACCTATGGTTTTATTCTCTCAAGCAAGCATAAGCGAGTGTATAAAATAGAAGAAAATTTTTTGGTTAGATCTCATGAAAGGAATCAAATACTAAGAATAGGGATACACACATACGTGTACCCGCACTCATGAATACATCCTTAAAGATAAGCTTGTCTTTCACAAGGTTGTAATGAAAGGCTAAGGTTAGGGGAAATGGAAGAATTGGAAGGAAAAACAAGTAACTTAAGAACATACCAAGGTTGCATTCTTCATTGATCTACAAGGTATCATTGATTTAGAATGACATGGCTGCAACTAGAACTTATTTTTCACACTTAGATCATATCGAAACATTTTCTCCTTTATCTTTCTTATTTGATATGCTTCTTTTTTAACTTCATTGCACATATTCACACCATTTTTCATTCAGGTACTTAGCAACAACTTCCTTGCTTCAAACTTTATCTTGGGACACCTTGGTATATTCCTAAGCTATAGAGTATAGCTACACAGGTAGGGAAATGATGAGGGTGGTAGAAGAAAAAGGCTTGAAGTGTTTGGCTTCAAGAGGGCTAATGGAACACACATATGGGTAAGGTGAAAAGAAAGCATGTAGAATGTTTATGCACACATAGTCTAGCATCACTTCAATGAGTTCATGAGTGAGTGAGAGTATACACATGATATTTGCAAAGTAGAATCATCCTTAGTATTAAATCAAAATGGGACAATGAGATTATTTAGAGTGAATTGAAGAAACAGTAGGGATGAGAAATAGAAACACTTTAAACCCTCTCAAGAAGGCAAGTAGGCTCAATATAGCTCACTAGGGTAGTCTCCATTATTTTCCTTCAAGAATTTGAGCATGGTACTTTAGCCACCAAAATTCTAAGAGCGAAAGCTTTGTAAAGTGCAAAAAGTATAATATGAAAACCTCAATGGCAGCTCCATAGCATTGATTGAATAACATTGTAAAATATAAAAAAATATTAGTGACAAACGAACGAAAATTGAAAACCTTCCCCCAAACTTGAATTGAACATTGTCCTCAATGTTAAAGCATAATAAAGATGATTGAGAACATGTAAATAATAAGGGGAAAATTTAAGAAAAAGGTTCAGAGAAACTTCCCCTAGATGCGATTAGGTCGACCGCTACCAAGCACCTTCTTCTTGAACACATGGGTTGCCTCCCAAGAAGCGCCTTAGTTAATGTCTTGGCAAGACATCCAGCAATTTATGATGAATTGGTGAGTTTTGGATCAATCATCTCCTTATGCATAGCAAGATAGTTCACCTAGCTTCTTCTCCTTTTCTTTCGCTTCCTTTGTTTTTTTTCTTTTCTTCTTCTTCATATGTGTAGGAAGTGCAATATTGGACTTTAGGGTGACAATGGATGGTTCCAATTTCGTGGGGAATGGTCCAAGAGGCTCGAGTGGTGCCCTAAATGATTTTGGGTATGGCTGGAACACTTCTAGGGCAACTACCACTTCTTGAAAAGCCGGTTCAACATGATCTTCCTCTTCTTGTGAAAGACAACTTCTATAGCATCATTGGAGAATGAGATCAACACAATGATAATTGTGTTTGTAGTAGCCATCTTTCACACTGATAATTGTGTTTGTAGTAGTCATGAATGGTCGTCCTACGAGAATGAGATCAACACGATCTCCATTTGGGTTATCCTCCATGTCCATCACTACAAAATCAGCAAGGAGAATGACTGTATTAACTTGAACTAAAGTATCTCCTACAATACCTTTTAGATATTTGATAGAATGATTAGCTAGTTTAAGTCGAACTGAAGTCTTCTTCGGCCCTTCTAAGCCAAGCTTTTGATAAACTGAATATGGCATTAGATTGATGCTTACTTCCAAGTCGAACATGGCTCTTGATGAGTCGATTTTATATTATATATTTAACCCCATTCTTAGTATATTTTGGTTAATACTTTGGAAGAATTTTGATACTTTGAATTATATTTCCAATATAGGACTTTCGATTCTCTCTGGAGCAAAACATAATCAAATGAATGAATTTTGGAGTAATTCCAGTTGGAGGACGTACGTGAGTCACTTAGCTTCATCGTATCAAAATATCAGACTTTTCCACCAAGCGATGATTTCCTGGCGAATAAATGAAGGAGCAGTGCGCTGTGCTGGAAAAGTCTGATATTTTGATACGATGAAGCTAAGTGACTCACGTACGTCCTCCAACTGGAATTACTCCAAAATTCATTCATTTGATTATGTTTTGCTCCAGAGAGAATCGAAAGTCCTATATTGGAAATATAATTCAAAGTATCAAAATTCTTCCAAAGTATTAACCAAAATATACTAAGAATGGGGTTAAATATATAATATAAAATCGACTCATCAAAATACCCCCAAACTTAGCTTTTTGCTTGTCCTCAAGCAAAACAAGACTCAAACAAAAATAAAAACTTAATAAACTAAACACCTTGCTAAAACTTAATAGAACAAAATTTCCACCTTCAAGTTGCAATCCATAGGAAATTTTAAAACCTAGAACATCTTTTCAATAGATCCCAGTAATCCCACCACAGAGTCTAAGCTATTTAGAATCAATTAGAAAAGAATTCACAAACTTCCTTCGATGTAAAGTGAACCATCATAGTTAAGGAGACTCGACTAAAACCCTTATCTCTCATCCCTTTTATTCATACTTCACATATTTTTTTTTATTTTTTATTTTTTCTCTTTTTTTATTATTATTTTTTTTTATAGTAACAGTAGTGGTTGTGCAATGTTGGTTCCCTTAAGCTTTCGATCCAACCCATGTAGCGAGCTTTAGGTCAATGACTCCCAAACCACTAAGGCTTTAGGGCACTAGGTGTAGAACACCCCTAAGGACTTATTAACTCAAGCTGAAAAGGCTACGAAACCAACTAACCACCCTGCCTCATGCCAAAACTCTACCGTTTGACTCAAGAATCACTGCTGATTAGGCAGGACTGGCCCGGTTACAAGCAAAGCTTCATTAGACAAAAAGTAAGTATTTCAATCTCACTCCCCAAAACCATGTTGGTGTGATGTGCAAATTTCAAAGTATAATTCATGAATTAGTGTCTAAGCAACAATAAACAGAAAAGACTCTACTGTGGGATTGATTTTCACCATGTCCATTTGTTCTAATGTTTAAAATAATCTATGGATATGAACTTAAAAACGAAAATTTTAAACAAGACCCAAAAAATTAAAAATCTAAATTTTTATTCCACCCCAAAACTTAAATCACACATTGTCCTCAAGGTGTGGAAAATAAATAGATGTGACAACAAAAAGAAAGAAAATACCCTAAGAGAGAAAAATACATAAACAAATAAATAAAAATTAAAAAGAAATAAAGAAATAAAAACAATAAGAACAAAATAGCAAGAAAACGAACACACCTGGGAGGTTTCGAACGCAGGACCAGTAGCTGGGAATTGCTGAGCATACTGACCAACACGGACAAGGGCAGACTTGTGTCAAATCCAAGCAATTTCTACAATATAATTGGTGTAGCCGCAGTTGGTGTCATGTGGAAAGATCTAATTGCATCTCTGTTGGTTGCGAGAAAACTGGAAGTTGCAGACCCATTCATCTCAACACTCTCACTTCTTCAGTTTGCTCAGAAAACGCAGGTTCGCACTCTCGCCCTTTTTCATTTTTCTCAAGAATGCAAGGGCCTTGTCTCTCTGTGGGTTGGAATTATCTGATGCACTTGAATCTTTATATGGTTTTTGAATTTCTTGACTCCTCAATTTCAGATATATCTCCATCCATGTCACCAGATGCTAACCTGTTCCAAGACGAAAGCAAGTTGAAGCCGAACCAGAGTCCATTCTCCACCATTAAGGACCCCAGATCGGTACATCTTGTAGGTATGATTTCGAACCCTAGAATATATATATATATTGAAATTATGCCATCTGTTTGATTCCCAAAAATTTGAAATGACACCAGCTATGGGATGCTCCACTTGAATTGTCAAAGAATTGGAATCCCATGTGGCCAAGCTTGAAGTTGAGATTGGTGACTTCAAAAAGCTGCTGGAGAAGAACGTTGTCTAATGGGATTTCGTCCAAAAAGAACATTGAATCACCCAAGAACCACTTGACCACTAATCTTGCAAGGACGATTTCAAGATCCAATATCCATTCGAAGGTAAGATTAATTCCAGAATTTGTTTTAGGTCCTAATTTGGGAGCTGTGGTTGATGTATAGATATGTGTGTATAATTTTGACATGTGCATAGTGTAGGAAGGTTGCAGATCCAAGAGAAGGCAGTCAGCACACAAGCTCAAAGGACAAAACAGGACAAAGCCCTGAGGACCCCCAATCCATCCATCTCATAGGTATAATTTCGAATCCCTTGCATCTTTGAGTGACCGCTTGTTAATTGCCTGAATTGCTAGTGTAGACTTGCTGCTGGGTGCATGATTCCAGTGTAGACTTGCTGCTGGGTGCAGGATTCCAGCCTAGGATTTTTTTTTGCTTTGGATGTTTGCTGTTGATTGTTGTGTCCTGCATTGAATCAATGATGTGTTATGAGTAGAAAGAAAATAAAAACATCTAGTTAAAGAAAACAACAACAAATATTTTTTTTTACCATTTTTTTTTTATAATTGAAAGGAGTAAAGAGTATAGAAAAATTGGGTTGCCTCCCAATAAGCGCTTTATTTTAAGTCTGTAGCTAGACATTGCAGAAGCTTGGTGGTCAGATCACTGGTTCCTTCAGAGTTAGTGACTCGCGTGCAATATCGAAGAGTGACTCCAAATATGGTTTCAGCCTGTGACCGTTCACTTTGAATGTGTTGCCATTAATTTCACTTGTAATATCAACCGCCCCATGAGGATAAACCTTAGTAACCAAATAGGGGCCATTCCAATGAGACTTTCACTTCCCTGGAAACAACTTCAACCTTGAACTGAATAACAAAACTTTTTGCCCTGGATGAAAATTCTTTCTGAGAATATGATTGTCATGAAATGCCTTGGTTTTTTCTTTGTAAATGTGCGAGCTCTCATAAGCATCATTACGAATTTCCTCAAGCTCATTAATCTGCAATTTACGTTTTTCTCCAACAGAATCATAAGAAAAATTCAACTCTATAATAGCCCAAAATGCCTTATGCTCTAGCTCCATAGGTAAATGACAAGCCTTACCATAAACCAGCCAAAATGGGGACATCCCAATTGGGCCTTTAAATGCTGTTCTGTACGCCCATAGAGCATCACTCAATTTCAAACTCCAATCTCTTCGAGTAGAGCTAACTGTTTTTTCAAGAATTCGCTTGATTTCTCTATTTGAAACTTCAACCTGTCCTGATGTTTGTGGATGATAAGGAGTAGCAACACGATGCGTGATCCCATACTTAGCTAGGAACGTAGCAAACGATCTATTAACAAAGTGCTTACCCCCATCACTTAGAATGACACGCGGTGTTCCAAATCTTGGAAAAATTACCCCCTGGAGGAATTTCAGAACAACTGATCCTTGATTGGTTGGTGCTGCAATTGCCTCGACCCATTTAGAGACATATTCAACAGCCACCAAAATATACTGATTGCCATGGGACATTGGGAATGGTCCCGTGAAATCAATACCCCAAACATCAAACAATTCAACGACTAATATACTTTGTTGTGGCATTTCGTTTCTTTTGGACTGATTACCCACCCTTTGACAACGATCACAAGACCTACACCAACTATTAGCATCCCTGAAGAGAGTAGGCCAAAACAATCCACTCTGCAAAATTTTAGCTGCTGTCCGTTTAGGGCCAAAATGTCCCCCACAAGCATACTGATGTGCAAACTTTAAAACACTTTCATGCTCTTCTTCTGGAATACACCTGCGAATAACTTGGTCGAAACAATATTTGTATAAATATGGTTCATCCCAAAAATAATACTTTGCTTCTGCCAAAAATTTCTTTTTCTGCTGGAAAGTAAAATCTGGATGAAGTACCCCTCTAGCCAAATAATTAACTAAATCAGCAAACCATGGTGAAATGATATGGGCAGCAAACAGCTGTTCATCTGGAAAACTTTCATTTAAAGGCAGCAAGTCATCTTCAGCAGAAATTGGCACAATCAACCTGGACAAATGATCAGCCACAACATTTTCACTACCCTTCTTATCCCTGATTTCTAAGTCAAACTCTTGCAGTAAAAGAATCCAACGAATTAATCGAGGCTTAGCGTCTTTCTCTCACAACAAATACTTCAAAGCTGCATGATCTATGTAAACAATCACCTTAGCCCCAACTAAGTAAGACCGAAATTTTTCTAATGCAAAAACAACTGCCAACAATTCCTTCTCTGTGGTCGCATAGTTTAGCTGTGCATCATTGAGAGTTCGATTAGCATAATGAATGACTTGGGGAAGCTTATCTTTCCGCTGTCCAAGAACCGCTCCTACTACGTAATCTGAAGCATCACACATCAATTTGAAAGGTAAACTCCAATTAGGTGCTGCAATAATGGGTGCTGTAGTGAGGAGTGTCTTTAACTTGTTGAAAGCCTCCAAGCAAGCATCATCAAAGACAAAAGGAGCATCCTTAGCCAATAAATTACACAATGGTCGGCTAATCTTAGAGAAATCCTTGATATACCGTCTGTAAAACCCAGCATGACCAAGAAAAGATTGCCGAAGTTTGCCTAGTACGTTATCTCGGTGACATTTTGTATGCAGTATGTTTTCAGATTGGTGAAAATGCCTTCTTTCTGTTCTACAGGGCAGGGGCATTGCACAAACCAAAGGGCATTCTTCGATATGCAAAAGTCCCAAAAGGACATGTAAAGGTTGTCTTCTCTTGATCCTCAGGTGCAACTGGAATCTGGTTGTACCCTGAATATCCATCCAAGAAACAATAGAACGCACGACCAGCCAACCTTTCCAACATTTGATCAGTGAAAGGCAATGGAAAATGATCCTTTCTAGTGCCCGCATTGATCTTTCTGTAATCAACACACATACGCCACCCAGTAGTCAAATGTGTAGGCACAAGTTCATTATTGTCATTCTTCACAACTGTAATTCCAGAAAGCTTGGGCACCACTTGAGTTGCACTAACCCACTTACTATCTGAAATGGGGTAGATCATCCCAGCATCTAGAAGCTTCATAACCTCAGTACAAACAACTTCTTTCATAATTGGATTCAAACGACATTGAGCATCAACGGTGGGCTTTACTCCAACTTCCATCAGAATTCGGTGCATGCAAATTGTAGGGCTGATCCCTTTAATGTCTGCTATAGTCCAACCGATTGCATCTTGATAATTTCTTAAAATATGAAGCAATTTTTCTTCTTTTGTTGATGATAAGTCAGCAACTATAATAACTGGCAGCGAAGAATGTGCACCCAGATAAGCGTATTTCAAGTGTCCTGGTAGTACTTTTAAATCCAGTTTAGGTGGCTGTACTTTAGAGGGCTGCAATGGTTTTTTCGGTTCCCCTAAACTCTCAAAAACGTGCCTCCAACGGGGGTGTAGAAAAGGAACACTTTCCAAAGCTGAAACATACTCAAAAACCTCTTCATCTTCAGTGTTTTTATTCTCCAACCCATGCAACACCTTTAACAATGGATCTGATGTCAAACGGGGCATAATTTCAGCATGCATTAAGCTGTCTAACATGTCAACACGCATACAATCTTGCACATCAGTTGGCCTTTTGGTTATTTCGAATAAACTGAAAACAACGGACTGATCTTGCACTCTAAGTGTAAGTGTTCCAGCCTCAACATCAATTAAGGTTCGAGCAGTAGCCATGAATGGACGCCCCAAAATAATCGGTGTTTGCATATCTTCATCCATGTCCAAGACCACAAAATCTGCAGGAAGGTAGAGATTATCCACTTTAATAATGAGGTCTTCAATAATTCCCCTAGGGTAAGCAACTGAACGGTCCGCCAGTTGTAGAATAACTGATGTAGGCTTGATTTCTTCTTGTGCTAGTCTCTGAAAAACAGAAAAAGGCATTAAATTAATATTGGCACCCAAATCAATTAAAGCACGTTTAAAATTAGAATTTTCAATTGTGCATGAAATTGTAAAACTCCCTGGGTCTTGTTTCTTTGGAGGCAGTTTGTGTAATAAAACTGCACTACACTGTTCTATAAGAATAACTTTTTCAAAATCCACGAGCTTCTTTTTCTTTGTGCAAACATCCTTTAAAAACTTAGCATAAGATGGAATGTTCTTAATTGCATCAATCAATGGCAGATTGATCTGAACTTTGGCAAACGTTTTCATAAAATCTGTCAATTGTTGATCTTTAATTGTGGGTTTCAACCTTTCGAGATAAGGCACTGGAGGCACATAAACACGTTCTGCAGTTTCT